TGATGCTTGTAGAATGTCACAGATAGGCACCATAATATATAACCAAAATGGTTATGTTCCCAGAAAGCTAAAACACAGACACAGTAAACAAAATACAACTTTTATTTAACTTCAACATGAAAACTAATTAAAAAAATTGGTGTTGATATTAATATCAATCTTCTTTCTTTGGTTTTTGGTTCTGAGAATTAGATGAGTTCCTTTTATCAGGTTCATCAAGCCTATTACTTTTGATTGTAGCACTTAATATTAATGATAACATCAACAAAAAGACCACTACAAGCAAAGCATTGTCTCTCTTACGATGTGAAGAAGCCTCATTATGTTCTTTATACTCCTGTTTGGCAGAACTTCGCCTAGCAAAAGACTTGCCATAATGTGCTCGAGCCCACTCATCAAAATCGTGATATATATATATATAAGATAAAGACCGGAGACTGACGATATCAGCCTTAATACCTTCCTGGAGTGTAAACAACTTGATAAATGTATATAAGCAGGATTATTGGACGAATAAAGCAGTATTGATTCAGAAGCCGTGAGTGTTGTATCTCAAACGTTTTCTTTTTTTTTTTATTGTTTAAGTTCACCGACGCTTAACTGGTGCCGAAACCCGGGAAAACGTCAGGAGACCATAATTGGTGAATTTTTTTTTTTTTTTATTACTTTCATTGTTTCTATCTCCTAGTCGTAAGGAAAAACTGAGATGCCGACAGAAGGCTTAATCCGACCAGGAGTGTTAAGCGCACCGGAAATTCCTCAACCTCAGGAAATTCCTCAGATCCCTCAGATCCCTCAAATCCCTCAGGTACCTCAGATCCAGGAGATCCCTCCCTTACCGAGGGACACATTGGCAGAAGCGCACGCTAATGAGCTAGAATGGATGAAGATAAGAGCAGCGACCACGCAGGACTTACGGAGGGCAATCGCGGACCTGGAACGCTTCGGGGGCGAGGTAGGAGAACTCAACCATTTCTTGAAAGGTGGAGACCGCCTCATTTCAAGAATCGAGGTAAAGGTGGCAAGGATCTTGTGAACCTAGGGGACGCGGAAACGCTGAAAGCAGCTCTTGTATGTAGAGTGAGGAGAAACATCCTGAACCAAATTCAGGCGGACGAGGAGACACCATGGCCGGTGATCAAGGAGAGATTGAAGAAGGCTTTCGGAGGAGGCAGATGGACGCCGGAGGAAGATATCTTTCAAATGTTTAGGGAGCGCCGGTCCCAACGACAGACGAGGAGACAGTACGCTGGGGTACTAGTGGCGAAATACAACCGCATGACCGAGAAAATGCGTGAGACAATGAGTGCGGGAGAGGTTGGAGCCAGGATGGAGTTCCTTTCGACGATACTCAAAGTCCAGTTAGCAAAAGAGACTGGGAAGTGGGACGGACTGCCCAAAGAGCGATCGTTCCTCGAATGTGCTCAAGAAATGATCGATCTGAGTGCAAGAGAGGAAGAGACTCGGATGGATATAGAAGAACCAGGGTGGATCCGAGTGAATGACAGACGACCCAGGACAGCCCCGATAGTCTGGAAAAAGAGAGAAACAAGACAGCCGAATGCAGAAACGGCCATGACGGGCGAAAGAAGATCGGGACAGTCTAGGCCGAGGAATGGACCCCGGAGAGAGGATAGAAAATGTCATGGGTGTGGAAAGCCAGGACATTTGGTAGCACAATGTCCTCGCACTAGATGTTTCGAATGCGGGACCGAAGGACATATTGCAAGACAGTGCCCATACATGTTTCGTAGGAGAGAGAGACCTTAGGAGGAGCCGATGGAGGTGAACGTGCTGAAGATGAGATGACGAGCTAAGATGCAGCAGAGGGACGGATCTTCGGAGGAGGCAACTGATGCGTCGGGAACTTCGGAAACGGAGACGGATGAACCAGGCAGCAATGGAGGTGAAGGAGGAAGGAGCAGCCAACGGAGCAAGCAGCGACGAGCGACGGCAGTAAGGAGGAAGAAGCGCGGCATCTAAGGAGTGTGTCCGTAGAGAGGCGACCGCATAGCAACATGCAACAATGTCTGAGGTAAGCCATGCTGGTTGCCAATCATTGAAGTAAAAGGGGGAGTAAAGTGCCTTGTGGACACAGGAAGCTCGAGTACTATTATGACCCGAGGGGTGCTAGGGAAAGTGGGCGGTAGCGAGAGGGCACTCCGGATACAAAAATGTGATTGCCAGTTAATCACTCTGGATGGTCCCTGTAGCGTAGAGGGGGAAGCGACAATCAGGCTTGATCGGTGGGCAGAGAATGAGGGTGAGCTAAAGGTGCACGTGGTAGGAAACATGACACGAGAATATCAAGTCATAGTAGGTTGTGATCTGTTAGGGCAGGTAAGGGCGAGCATTAAAAACAGTAGAGGGGCCTGGAGTATTAGGCTGGGGAAAAGGAAGTTTGAATGTAAAGGGGTCGCGAGGGAAAGAATGGTGCGGATAGGAGCGGTGAACAGGGTTGAGGACTGGAGGAAGTCGCTACAAGCGGAATTTGAAGATATTTTCGTCAAGGAGGGCGAGGTATTGGGAGTAACAGGGAGAACGGTGCATGAAATCCCACTAAAGCAGGATAGGGTAACCTACGTGAAGGAAAGGAGATACCCTCAGGCGCTGAGGCAGCATATTCGGGAGGAATTAGACAGTTTGAAGGAGCAAAGGATCATAGTCGACAGCACCTCACCATTCAATAGTCCCCTGTGGGCGGTGTAAAAGAAGGGAGCGCCGGGGGATAATACGGAAAAATACAGGGTGGTAGTAGACTATCGTAAACTGAACGACAATATATTAGATGAGAAGTATCCGATCCCCAGATTTGAGGACATACTCGATAGGTTCAGTGGGGCCGTGGTATTCAGCACGTTGGACCTCAAGGCGGGATATCACCAGATACGGATGCACCCAAAGGATCAATACAAAACGGCGTTTACGTTCGAAAGGGGGCATTATGAATTCACCAGAATGCCGTTTGGACTGAAGAATGCGCCCATAACGTTTCAACGTCTGATGGACGAATTTTTGGGGGCTATCGATGACTCGGTATGCCAAGTATATATGGATGACCTGCAGATTTTTAGCAAAACGGAGACCGAGCACGTGGGGCATTTGAGATCGGTATTCGAGAGGCTGCTCCAATTCGGGCTGAAATTGTCAAGCGAGAAATCTCTACTGGGACAAACGCGGATCATTTTTTTAGGCCACACTATTTCTAGCGAGGGGGTCAGACCTGATGCGGCGAAGGTGGAGGCAATCACACGGATGGCGGTACCACGGGACGTTAGAGGGATCCGTAGGCTTCTCGGGACGCTTATCTACTTCCGGAGATTCATACATGAGATGGCAGAATATTTGGTCCCCATCAACAATTTGCTGAAGAAAGGCGCTAAGATTGCGGTGACACTAGAAATGGAGAACAATATCCGGAAATGCCTGAATAAATTACAAGCAGAACCCGTGTTGGTGTTCCCGGATTTTGAGAAGCAATTTAATATCACCACCGATGCGAGCGAATATGCGTTAGGGGCCGTTTTATCCCAGGACGGAATTGAGGGTGAACGTCCGATAGCATACGCAAACCGACGGCTTACGAGTGCGGAATCGCGATACAGCGCCTTGGAAAGGGAGCTACTTGCGATAGTGTGGGCTGTCGACCATTTCGGGCCATATATATTATGGAGGAAGTTTCGAGTCCACACCGACCACAAACCCCTTCAGTGGGTAGGGAAATTAAAGGAAACCTCGGCTAGGGTCACAAGATGGAAGGAATTCCTTAGTCAGTATAACATAGAGGTGGTGTATAAGCCGGGAAAGGAAAACGTGGTGTCGGATTGACTCTCTAGGGCCATCATGATCAACGCAGTAGAAGAGGACAGGGGAGGACCATCGCGGGATGTGCGCCAATTTTTGAGTGAATGGACTCCTGATGGCGAAGGGGCAGTCGGTATAGAGGGCGGGGAGGAGTCCCCAGAAGAAGAGAGTTCAGCAGAGGAAAGGGCAGCGGAGATGGATGAGATAGACGAGATCATTAACAACAAGCATCGCCAGGTGATCTGAAAAACGAGAACCGCGGGGACCATGAAAATAGATTTCAGGAAATATGGGCAAAGTAGGATTCACGTCATCTGGTCGCAACCCGGGGTAAGTGAAGAGCAAATCCGTAGGGCACTGAAGGACGCCACGGAAGCGGGAATTGCACTCATCGTGGAAAATTAAACGGGATTTCGATCAGGATTCTGGTGATAAGGGTGTTAAGGGGTTTTATAGTATCTTGTAAATCTGATAGGTCGGATGAAAGGATAATAGTAATGTCTGTTGGATGTTGGTTTAAAGTGGATTTGAATTAGGATGTTGTGGTGGGTGATCAATAGGGTTGGGAGTGTTAGCGGAAGGGTGGATCCGTCGTTGTGTACGAGGTAGGTCTGCATTCGAAGCTATTTGTAGTGGGGATTTTGTTTCGACCTTAGGATGGGATGGATGAGGGTGCTGTGGCGGAAGTTGGACCCGTAGGGGTAGATGATGGAGAGGAATTTTCTGATGTTGAGGGAGGTTGAGACTGATAATTGGAAGCATGGATGGGTTTAGACTTGGAGGTCTGGGTCGTCTGTTGAGGTCGTTGCTGCTGATTCTTTCTCTTGGTACTTCAATACGGTTTTCTGGAGTCCTGATGATCGACAACTGCTAACATAGAAGGTTGTCGTTTAGTTTCGGGTAATTCCGGGAATTGTGTCGTATTTTAAATTTCAGGTGCTTGAGTAGAACTTTTCTGACTCAGATTTATCGAAATTTAAATAAAGAAAATGAACTAAGTCTTTTTTCATGTTCATTATTATATAACACACTAATTTGCAGTGTTATGAGCAGTTAAGATAATGAACAGTTTAGATCAATTTTAATGAGTTTTAAAATATAATTATATAAATATAAAATTATAATCTTTGATATAATAATCTTATAAATCATAATATATTATTAGAAGTTTCTATAACCTCACTGGTGACAGTTGGCATTATACACTAAACAGATTTTAAGTTAGTTTGCCGGTGTTATCAGGGACTTGTGTTTGTTGTTCTAGTACCTATCATTTCTTCAGAATGGGTTTGTTTATAATCTCATCTGCTTCATATTATTTATTTATGTTTAATGTAATGAAATTTTTCCCGGATTAGTTATGAATCGTTTTTATTATGTCTAGTTTTTCTCCCACAGTATTTTTTGAATTATATCATACACTTAATCCATAAATTTTTTTTCAAAATATAATAATCTTTGCTATTTATTCATTAACATTTGGGGAAAGTAATATTTTTTCAATCATCTAAACTTAATACAGAATTTCAGTTAGGGGATTTTGTCCTTTCTGGTTTGATCTGCTGTAATTTGTGTTAAGCTTACTCACCATACATAGTTAATGTTTTTTATAAAAAAATTATTTATTTCATAAATATCTCATATTTACAAAATTCCTTACAGTGAATTTTTAACAGTAGTAGTATGAATGACATATATTCTTTGAGATTTTTCTTTTCCCTCATTCTGTTTTCTCTTATTAAACATCCAAAATTCACTTTTTTCATATAACAATTGATAATTTCTGTTGATTAATGATCCATGTATTTTTTTTAATTTACTGAAAAATCATTTAAAATTAAACTCTACAGCCTATTTTGCTTGAATGTAAGATAGAATATTAATTCTATAGTCTCATATGTGATAACATTATTATGACATGTTAGGAATGTGTAATGAAAGTTATGTAAATTTTAATTCAGTCAAAAAATCATTTTCAAAAAATTTTCATATTCACCATTATTAATCTTCCTTGCAATATTTTTGTATAAAAGCTTCATTTTAACAGTGTTAAATTTTGCGAATAGTATTAATTTCATGGTACTGCTGTACAAATGTCATTCCACTTTCATGTGTGGCATAATATTTCACGATCACACCATACAATTGCCCAGTGTGTCTGAAAGTAGACAGAAGTGACTGAACTGTCTTCTAAGGCCATGGCATTAATGGAAAACGATCCATTGGGGGTTTGTTTATCCATTTTGAACAAGCATAGTGAGTTGAAGTCAAAAGCAGCAATTTAGTTGAAGCTAATGAACAGTCCTATTTTAACTAAAAAGAACTACTAGGGAATTTATCCTAAGCATAAATCAAAATCTTAATGTTCGACTTGAGAAATGAATGTGGTAGACCACCTAAAAAGTTTGAAGGTGGCGAATCGCAAGCATTGTTGGATGAAGATGACACTCAAGCATAACTCTTGAAAACCATGAGAAACATCCAGCAAATGTAAAAATGTGCCCATATGAATTGAATGAAAGTCGATTAGAAAATTGGAAAACCACCTCTGAAATGCTGGTCGTCAAGTTCCAAAGAAATTCATTTCTCCATAAAATTGTGACAGGTGATGAAAAGTGGATTTATTTTGGGAATCCAAAGTGTTCAAGATCATGTATATTAATAAAGCTTCATGATATGTATGTGAAGCATTCAGGGTAAACCGTCAATATTGATTGCAGGGCCAGGTTGCTATGGAAAGAAGACAATTCTCTTTGGTGGTATCAAAAATATGTGATCTATTATAAGCTCCTAGAAACTGGTTAAACCGTGAATACTGAATGCTATTGATTAAAAATTATAGATTTGAATTTAGTATTGTTTGAAAAACGAGTAGACATTGAAAAAAGACAAAACCAAGTGATTTTGCTTCATGATAATGCACCATCTCACACATTAGAACCAATAAGGAAATGATGAGGAATTCTCAATTGGGTATATTAGCGCCTGCCTCTTACGCACCAGACATGGCTCTTTCGATTACTATTTATTTGCATCGATGGAGCTGATTCTTGCTTAGCAGATTTAGTTCACTTCTTATGAATATGTTCAAACATGGGTTGATCATTGATTAGTCACAAAAGAGCAACAGTTTTTGTGGCATGGCATTCATAAATTACTAGAGAGATGAGAACAATGTATTGCTAGCGATGGGTTATATTTCAAAATGCTTTTTTACATTTTCGTGCAATTAAAACAATAAAAAATCTTCCCAAGGTCAAATACAATCTTATTTGTATTTTATAATAAAATAAAATAAAAATTCTGTTGAAAATAAATCATATTTAATTAACAATATTCCTATTTAGTTTTGAACAATATATATAACTTTTTTTAATTTTCCTATAAACTAATTGTTTCGAAAAATTCTGATATGTTAATTTTTTTTTTTTTTCAGGTGCAGCATCAACTAGTTCATCATTTATTTGTTCGTCTGTATCTACTGTAATACTTTTTTGCATAATGCAAATGCAAAAATCATGGTTATCTTCCTCACAGATGCATACAATACTTGGAGGCTATCTTGGTTCCTTACTGTTTATCGTTTTGTTAACTGTATCCTTTGGTGCTTGTGAATATCTTTTTTGAAGTGTTTTAACTACTTGATCTTATTGATAATTCAATTTTTTTATGTATACTAATGAATTGGTTTTCAGTGATACTCAATGAATCATTACCAATGTGTGTTGGCATGTGTGTTTTTGCAATTAAAATTGAGTCAAGCCCACTAAGTATTAATATGCACAATAGTGCCTATGTTCCCTCCCTATGGTTACCTACCCATCATATATAAACTTTTCTCTTGCTTCCTTACCATGTATTGACAGTACTTTTCTTTCATGCCAAGCAGTAATTGGCTTGGAGCGTTTCTCTTTTCTCTTCATTTTTTTTTATTATTATATTGTTAGATGGGATTCTGTGTATTAGTGTATGGCGGATCCTTATTCACTTTTAAATGGGTGTGTTTGTGGTGTACGGATTCAATAACTGAAAATGTAGATGAAATAAGAGTTGTTTCGATTGTTTTCCTGATGATCTAGAATTGAAAGAACATATTTATTTGACCTAACACGAGGGAAAATTATTATTATTATTTTATTTTATTTTTTCTGTTCTTCCCTACCTTGCCTTTTAGGCTATACAGGATTTTTCTGGGCCGGAGGGTGAGGGCGGGGAATATAAAATCCCCTCTGGCACCGGGATGCGAATTCATACTTTTTAAATCTTCTCAAATCTCTTATCCGGTCGCCAGTCAACTCGCGGTGCAGTGCACACGCTTTAGCCCATTCGGCCACCCCGCCCCCTCCAGGGGAGGGGGAAATTATTTAAAGATTAGTAAAATATTTTACCCAAAGTTACCCATTTCTATTGGGTTTTAAAATGTTTGAGCTTGTTGAAACCCTTCTACACTCCCACTAATCATATCCCTGATCGCAATTGGATTTTCAGTAACCAATTCAAAGAAGATGATTACTATAACTCATCTTTATTTTAAAGATATTTTATAAAACTGCTATTCTATTGATATGTGTGCCATATCCACCACTTCTGGTGCCATTTAATAAATTCAATTTTTAGATTAAACTTATAAAGAGAGACATGAAAAATCTATTATTCACCACTAGATTATTATATTCTATCATTTACTTTCTAAAGGTATTCATTTAGTAGGAACAGGCAGGCTATTTTGGTTTTTAATCACATTATAAAAAAAATTAAACAAAAGAACTAGAAAGAGAAATACAACATTGCATGGCTGCTCATTTATGTTGAGTTGCTAAATAACACAACATACTCATCAATCAATTGATAATACTGTAAAAAAATATAGGAGAGAGTTAGGTCGGACCATTGGAATACGTATCAGATATACCAAGAACGGTTTATAGAATCAAATAAGCGGAGGCCTATATGTGATGATGGAGGATTCTCAATGAATCTAAGATTATAGAATCTGTCATGGTCTGCATCTACTCTCTTCCAACTGAGCCTCGACAAGAAATTATTTGTATTAAGAGGGATCCTTACTCTGCTTCTGAACCATAGCTCTTTAACTGAGAATTCTCTTGCCAAAATCATCTCATTCGGGTAAGGTATGCATTTCGTATTAATTTCTATAGTAGTCTTTCTCCGCTTGAGAAGACCTTTTTAATTTTATATAGACAAATGACTTCGTTGTGTAACATCTGGTGAACGAACCTTTGTTGTTTCACTCAGGTTAACCGTAATCCCTCTCATCGCTATGTTATTTGACAACTGTGCTTGGTTAAACCTAGTCTCGAGTGCATTTATTTAGGATTTAAAAGTCGTATTCTCCGTTAGCATATTTTCAATAATTTTTTGTTGTTGCCAGTTCCTCTATCTTTCTAAGTCTCTAGCCGTTTTCAAATGCTGGGTTACTCTGTTTTCCAAACAATAACTTCAGCTCTTTTATATCCCCAGCGAGCACTTTTACGCCATTATAGAGGTATTGCTCTCTTCTGATATCCCATCTGCCATTGTAGGTTGATGCTTACTGAGGAGATTTATACAGGTGTGGCAGAACCAATTGTTGTTTTTTAATTGTTGCGTTATGCCAGTCTCCAAGATATTACAAAATTTTTAGTTTGCATGTAGAACAAACTAACATATATCTATTGTCTCAGCCGATCATGTTGAAGCAGCTGATGAACTGAGCAATAAAGTATTAGATACTTATGAAGATGGTGGGGAGTAAGAGATGTAGTGGGGTTAATATTGATCCTTATCTCTCGATCAACCATCTCAATAAATTTTAAATTTATTGCTTACCTTTTTGTTTATTTGATAATAATAACCCAAAATCACCAAATCAATCAATAATTAGAGCACTTTTAATCTTTAATAAGTGTACTGATAGAACAATTATAACTTTGCTAATGAGACATAAAACATCAATTGATCCTAACTGTATAAAGGCAAGGGCCAGACTGATTATTGTAATGGGGAAATCTTTGTTAAACTTAAATGACATTTTTGAATTCACGACATTTTCAGTCTTACTTTTGTGAAATTCAATTTTCAGGAAGGGTTCTGGTACTGCTACAGGTAGGGAGACTGAATCCGGCAAAAATACCTTTATCTAAGCCATGTGAATCAGTCACATTCTGTTATATAGTGTTCTGTTATATAGTGTCATATTCTGTTTCCGGTGCTTGTCTGCACAGATGGTCTTTTAAATCTGCAGTGTCTGTTAGTATCCCCATTATTAGTCAGATTTATTTTTCACTAAGCCTAGCAGCCACTTAATTCTAGTGGAGGTAGGGTTTTAATTAAGTGTTTGGTTTGTCTGAGCCCAGCCCCAATCATGCCCTCCATTCCCTACCTGCTTCCGTATCCAATCAAGGATGTATTTTCGCTTTCAAAAAGGGTAACTAACTAACAAGGGAAAAATACTATGTAATTAAAAAAAAGTTCAATTGCTTATAAGATGGGATAATAAGATACATTATAAAATGTTATAGCCCGTGTTAGAGACCCCTTTTTATCAAATTATTAACATCGATCTGAAACTTTGTGAATAGCTTCATCTTATCGTAACCTACAACTATTTTATTTTTGAAAACTTGGAATTGGGGCATTTTCAATCTGGAGATCAGCAAACTTTGTCTATTTTTTAATTAAGTACTAAAATCTCATAACTACCCATTTGCTTTCCACTTGGATAGTAAGATAATTTGATAAAAAAAATTGAAAAAAAGTGGCCTAAAAAATATTAGGCTGTTTGGCCTATATAACTTCGTTATTTTTATGTTTTGGGGTTGTAGATCACACCAAACTGCTCGATATTTTTGAAGGCTATCTTTATTTATTGATTTTGTGCTCGAATTATCTTAAGATTCAGGTGCAAATGGGTATTTATGAGTGTTTAGTACCTAATTATATAGACAAAGTTTGCTGATCTCCAGATTGAAAACGCCCAGAATTTTCATAAATAAAATAGTTTTAGGATACGATAAGATGAAGCTGTTTACTAAATTTCCGGGTTATGTTAATAATTTGATAAAAGGGGGTCTGTACCTTGGGCTATTTATTAGGGAATGTAATACTTGAGTCTTAGCCTTAGTGATTAAAAGTAATTTTTATTTATTAATTTAAAAATTCAATCATCTGCTGTTTAAATTGTTTCTTCTCATATATTTTTCTAAATACTTTTGGCTAACCAACTACAAAATAAAATTATCATATATAATAATTTACTGGTTTCTTAATATATGTATAGTTTCCAGATATTGAAAGTACAAAATAACCAATAATATATTTATTCACTGTTAATCGAATAACTAGTTAATTCATTGTAGTCTCCGTTATTTTTACTTTCCTATCTGCTGTTATTTCCGCAAATGTAGTGTATCTTAAAACACTAAAACACTATCGTCTTTTATAAATGATCGATTGCTGGTTCTAACAAACAGCTTGAAAAGAAATTTATTAATCCGAATATGATAATAGTTGTGTGAGCTTCATCTGAGTTTGAAACATGAATGTTTATCAGGACAGACAATTTAAGAAGTAATGTTAAAGTTCCATGTGATTAATTCAACATGAAATATTTGTTGTATTTTGTTTAGGGATCGACCCACATCTAAATTTTGGCTGATACCGATATTTCAAAGGCTGATATATCGGATTTTTTTCCCTTTTCGTCAAAGTTTCTATAGTTTCACAGGGAATATCCTACTTGTTGCTAAATAAAAGAATAAATATACCATCTACGCATCAGCCTATACACAAATTTTGACCGATAAACCTATATTTCAGCATATCGGCCATTCATTTCTATATGTATAGTTCAGTACAATGTAGTATTTGTTGTAATTGATGAATGAAAGTGTCAATCAATCACCAAGAAATATCGCCCTGTTGATTTCATTTTATCGTGGTTAGAATTTTTATTATTATTATTGTATATTTTATTCTATTTTTTTTCATCCTCCACTCCCCAAAATTTGAGCAGATATTGATATTCTTATCACCGATATATCGGCTTTACGATCTTATTTTATCATGATTCATAGAGTTTCACTTCATTTATTATAAAATAAATATGATTTGTATTATTAATAAATGTGGCAATCAGTCGCCAAGGAATTGACTTAAATATAAATTTGAGTGAAGACCGATAAATCGCTCTGATGAATTTATTTTTTTCGAGATTGGTAGAATTTGATAATTTTTTATTTATTTATATATTTATTTATTTTAAATATTTTTTTATTAGACCAATATAACGCCCTTATGATTTAATTTTATCGAGCTTGGTAGAGTTTGATAATTTGTTTTATTTTGTGCTTATCTTCTTCCAAATTTTATTTGGTCCATCCCATAGACCGATATATTCTCCTTTTGACCTTATTTTATCATGACAATCTGAAATATTGGTATTTGCCCAAATTAGGGGAAGGGGAGGGCTAGAAAAAAATTAAATAAAAATTGGTCAAACTCTATTAATCTGAATAAAATAAGATCATAAGGCCGATATTTTGGTCTTTGCTCAAATTTATGTTTATGTTGATCCCTTGACGAATGATTGATACATTTATTAGCTATAAAAATAATATTAAATGTGAAAGAGGCCGATATGTTGGTTCAAGGGGATGAACACAAAATTTGGAAGATGTTCAAAAAAAAAAAGAACAATAGTAAGGCTCTAATAAGGTCGTGAGGCCGATATATCGGTCTTTGGAATATCGGAATCTGCTGAAATCAGAGTAAGGAGAGGATTAGAAAAAAAAAATTTGTCATACTCTACCAATCTCATTGAAATATGGTCATAAGGCTGAGCAGTCTTTTGGGTATCTCTATCTGATAAAAATCTGTGGAAAGGATAAGCAAAAAAACACAACAAATAGTCAAACTCTACTTATGTAAAAAAAAAAAGTTGTGAGGCCGATATGTATATCGGCCTTTGCTCAAATTTATGTTTACACAGATCTGTTGATGATCAATTGACTCGGTTATTAGCAATAAAAATAATATTCATAGTGAAATTCTTAGAATATCGATAAAATAAGGTCATAAGGACCAATATATTGGTCATTGGAATATCGGCATCTGTCCAAATTAGGGAAGGGGAGGACAAGAAAAAAATTAAATAACAATTTTTCAAACTCTACCAATCTCAATAAAATAAGGTTATAAAATAACAGAAATAGAATCAAATAGATTTAAAAATAATGTAAGAGTCATGTACAAAGGTGTAAATTAATTTTGTAAATGTTTGGGACACGTAACTAGTGGAATTAGGGTTGAAAATAACAATATGCTGACTGATGCGGTAAACATATTAAGTAAATTTAAGAAATATTTTGACAATATTTTAGATATGGAAAGTGATGATCTGTGTCCTCCTTTTGAGTAACAGAGTGCTGAACCGTTAACAGAAGAACTGAGTAAAGAGCAAGTTGAAATAGCTATCAGAAAATTATAATTTTATAAATCAGCAGGAACTCATAATCGTAGTGAACTGATCAAGGCATGTGGAGAAGCTGGAGTTTCTGAAATACATCTATTGGTTAAAAATATTTGGGGGAATGAGAAATTGTCTGAAGAATGGGAAGAATCTATTCTTATTCTAATTAACAAAAAGAGCCCAAAGATGGAGTGTAATAACTATCGAGGAATTTCACTTCTTCTGGTATGCTGTAAAATATTCACATTAATTCTATCTAGTTGAATCATGGAATAAGCTTAGGAAATTATCAGAAACTACGAATGTGGATTAAGACGGGACTGTTCAACTATTGGTTACATATTTTCTTTATGGCAAATATTAGAGAAAATATTATAGTGCAATGGTGTTGTTACATAACTTATTGTTATAAGGTGTTGATGTATACATGTAACTTATATGGTTACACAACTCTGAATTGTAAGAACTGTACTTGGCTGATATAATTAAGGTAATTACACAAAGGTGGATAAAATGGGCATGTTCAATTGTTGGGCTTAGTAACAAAAAAGTACATAGAAAATTAATATGTGCTTTGCTGACCGGTAAGCATCTATGGGATAGACCAAAGCAGAGGTAGGATGCTTGTATTCGTATTAAGGCTGGTCTGGGTTTCGACAGCATTTGGTGGATGGATCTGAAAAGGGCGATCGGGGAATCAAGGTGATCGAGTGGGCTAACCCGTGTGTACAGCACCGCGTTATCTTGCAACCTGATGGAATATAACTTGGATAAAATAATTACGAGTTCGCATCCTGGTGCCGGATAAAAAAAAAAAAAAGATCGTTGTTATCAACATCAAAGATTTTTTATTATTAGTCCAATCTGCCTTGTATTAAAAGTTAAATGTATAACATACATAATGTCATCTATTGAACGACAGATTACCTTTATAATGAATTTTATAGAAGAATATTGTTAGAAGTCTGCTGCATCTGTTTGTACTACTGACTAATAAATAAATGATTTCCTTAATTTTTATGATTAGGCTGTTGGAAATATGGAAACTTTGGTTTTCGGAGCTCGTTTCCATACTAGACTATTTCCAGAAGGTATTAATGATTCATATTTTATATCAAAAACATTCTTTCTGATGGAAAACTAATAAAAGTATTTTTGTTTTCTAATTTTTTATTTATTTATGTAGTGGTCTTGTGCTTGGTTGCATCTATGGTGGCATCTGGTTTGGTGCACCGTGTTTGCTCCACAACTTGGTGTGTATATATATATATTTTTTTTTAATTGAAATAATAAATTATGATGTATCATTACTCAATTTAATTAAGAATTGTGACTATTCTTTAATGAGTATTCCTCAACTAATGTTTTATTGTGCAATATAAATCAATCACTCTCAGTAATATATTTGCAATATCTTTTTATGAAATTAATACACGGTGGGCCAGACCCCCCTACCGTGCACTCCCCTTCCCCCTCAACATCCCTATAAATTGCATATCCTTGTGTTCCTTGTAATTATTTATTTTAAAAAAGTCAGTGTTCTCACAATTGGTCTTTTGATTTTTTTTTTCTGTGATGGGATGCATTGTAATAAATTAATTACTAAAAAACTAACTTTTACCGAATTGAGAATGGTTCTAAATGTCCCAAAGGTTGTGCAAAAATACATGAAAATAAAATGTTTTTGTTGATTCTTCTTCTTCTTCCTGTACCACTATAATCCATGAAGGATCTTGGGTTCACTACTATTTAGGAAAAGAACCAAGACCAACTTTTGTGCAGGGAGTAGATCGGGCCAGGATCACGCTCAACCGCCAGGTTTTCCCCCTTAATCAATTATTTAATTAAGGGTGCCCACTTTGTAGAGGCTGGATGTGCCCAGGAAGATTTCACTACCCCAGGGTTGCTCCACAGCCAATGAAACAGAATAAATAATTTTTCTGCCATTAGCCGGGATTCGAATCTGGGATTGGAAGCTTAGTGGCCTACCACTGAGCTACCCCGCTCCCATTTTGATGATTATTTTTTTTTTTTTTTTAAATCTTTTTATTGAGAAATAATACATTTTGCCACATTTAAGGGCACTGAGTACTAAAGCTGAGTGAGGCTCATTCATACTATATATACAATGCAATAAAAAAAAAAAAAAAAAAATATATATATATCTATATAACAAAGGTAAAAACTATAAAACTAAAGAAATGTAACTTGAATTCAAATTAAAAAAAAAAATAATAATAATAATAAGTAAAACAAATAGATATATAAAAAAGAAAAACATTCATACTTAATATATAAAAAAGAAAAACATTCATACTTAATATATAAAAAAGAAAAACATTCATACTTAATATATAAAAAAGAAAAACATTCATACTTTATTTACAATCAGCCAAGGGAGCTCCGAGTCCAGCCCTTTCCTCCATGTGTGAAGGACAGAGCGAGACTCTAAGAGATCCCAGCGCTTCTCTCTCAGCTGCGTCACCGGCAGGAGTCCAGTGGAAACTGAGAGAGGGCACTAAAGCAACAGACGCTCATGACGTGAGTGGAGAGGCTGGCCATTGCCAGAACTCCAGTGACAGTCTTTTCAAAAGGTCTCGAGGCCACTGCCGTTTCAACCTTCGAGGAGGGTTGTAGGGGTGACTGGAGCTGGATAAGGATTGTGCTAAGGAGTTAGGATGGTGGATTAGGTTCAGATGAAAATTTGAGAATCGAGATGGAATAACGCCAAGGGCATAAGGGATGTAAAGGTCATGATGTAGGGTTTTGTTTGTAACATAATAAGGAGCATTGACTATTATACGGAGGACTTTAGACTGAAAGGATTGGATGTGTTCGATGTTCGAAAATTTAGTTGTCCCCCACAGTTCAAGTCCGTAGGTCCAGATGGGTTTGTGTATGGTCTTGTATATTAATAGTTTGTTTTCTATTGAGAGATTGGATTTTCTGTTAAGTAGTCTGTATAGCTGGCCAAATCGTCGGTTAAGTTCTTGTCTGGTATGTGGGTTCCAAGTTAGTCTTTTGTCTAAAAGGAATCCAAGATACCGAACTATGTCTGAGACGGGGAGAGGTACAGAGTTGAAAAGGATATGTGGACAGGATCTGCGTCGGAGGGTAAAGGTGACATGCTTGCATTTGGATTCATTTATCTTAATGCGCCAATTGTTGCACCATTGCTCAATCAGGGAGATGTGTCTTTGTAGGTTTAAGGATGCTGTTTCAGGATCTGAGTAGGATGACAGGATGGCGGTATCGTCAGCGGAGGTTGCTAGAAGGGTATCGGGGTTGGTTGGAATGTCAGCGGTGAAGAGGATGAAGAGAACTGGGCCCAAGACACTGCCTTGTGGAACACCAGCTTCAATTGGATAATAGTTGGAGAATTCAGTGCCGCAGCGGACTTGAAAGGAACGATTTGAGAGGTAGGATTTGAGGACTGGGTACAAAGATTGGGGTAAGTGAGTTTTGAGCTAGAAAAGCAAGCCATCATGCCACACCCGGTCGAAAGCTTGCGCTATGTTCAGAAAGGCACTGGTGCAATATTGCTTGTTTTCAAGCGCAGAGGATATATGATCAACAACGCGAAGGCCTTGTTGAACAGTGGAATGTCTTGAGCGGAATCCAAACTGATGGGATGGGATATTGTGGGTTTCGAGTATGGGTAGGATGCGTTTGAGAAGGATTTTTTCAAAGATTTTGGAGAGGATTGGGAGCAAGCTTATTGGTCTATAGGATGAGGTATTATTGACAGATTTACCTGGTTTTGGGAAGAGGATGATTATGGAGTGTTTCCATGTCAGAGGAAGTGAGTTGTGCGGAGAATACAGTTGTATAGGTATGTGAGGAATATAATTGCTTTTTTGGGAAGTTGTCTAAGGATCTGGGAAGTAAGGAGATCGTGTCCATGGGATTTTCGAGGTTTTAGGTTGCTTATAAGGAATTTGACCTCAGAGGGGTTGACAGCTATAGGAGGCAAGGAGAGAGGAATAGGAGAAGAGAGGAATTTTTTAACTTCAACAGTGAGGGTGGAATGGAGTTCGGGGTGGGGAGTAAATGTTTTGGATAGGTGTTTGGCAAATTCTTCAGCTCTAGTCTCATCTGACGAAGCCCAGGTTCCATCATCGCATCGGAGGAGATGGGAAACAGAATGGTATTTAAGTATTTTTCTGGTCAACTTCCAGAGGGAATTGTCATCGGTAGATAGGGAAGAGAGGTAGGGATTATATGATTGGGATCTAAAGGAAGCTAGTTCTTTTCTTACCTGTTTGGTATAATAATTGTACAGTTTCCAATCATCAGGATGCCTGGTTCTTTGCCAGATGGCCCTAGATTGGCGTTTGGATTTAATGAGGTTGGTAAGGATTTGAGGCAGAGGAATCTTTTTAAGGTATTTTTTGGAGGGGATTGGTTTGATGATTATTAGTCATTACTAATAGTCTGTGGGCCAAACCCCCTTACCGTGCACCCCTCCCCCCACATCCCTATAAATTGCATATCATTGTGTTTTTATTTATTTATTTATTAAAAAAAATCCAATGTTCCCACAAAAAAAAGTGAACGCATTGCCCCAAAATGGCGTCCAAACATGACTGACGACTTAGACTTAAGTTAATTTTTTGGTCACTGAGAATCAGCATTTGTTTTGTATATTTACTGATTCTTAGAGGTAATTTCAATTGCATATACTTCCCCAGAAATGAGTCATATTAATGACTATGAGTTTTATAAACCAAAATAATATATACCTAATCTGAACTACATATAATGAATAGTTGCCGGATCGTTAAGTAAAACTCAAATATCACTAAAAAAAATTTTTTATTTCCTTTATTTTTTTCGGAAGTTGAACCATATAAAAAAATAGGAAATTTTAATATTGAATGCATTATTCTCTCTGCACAATGAAAGATGGAAAGGGCGAAGATATAAGTTCTTCTAGGTAACTGGAACTGATTGTTAGTATCAGTAGTATATAGTATTAGTAGTATATGGTCTCAAAATGAGGGAAAATGCAAAATTGAACCCAAAAATTAGAAAAATAAATTAAGCTAATGAAAAAGGAAGTGCCAAAATCTCGGAAAAGAAAACAAGGATCAGTATCCATTGTATGGCAAAACGAATATGTAGTAGACATATGAACAGAATATTTCAAGATGCTGCTAAAAGGGGGAGCAGCTTGGATGATATTTAGGGGACTATGCAGGTAAATTATGGTGAAGACCATTTTATCAGCAAGAAAGGTTTGTTCCAAGCAATTGGCAAGTCAGCAGGTCTGGATGAACTGCTTCAAATATTTTAAAAAGTAATCAGTGTTTTAGAAAGAGAAATATATTCTCCAGATGTTTTATTTCGGCATGTTTTCCGTTATTTTTGGTCGTTTAATTATAAATGATGCTTAATTTTCAACTTCGTTAAAAAAATTGACTTTACAGGTGTTTTTTATTGCCTAAGCCAATTATTTTTTCATGTTTTATTATTCTCTGACTATCCAGCTTTAATAATAGACCAACTATGAAGAAATTAAGCCAAATGCTGATTCTCAGTGACCGAAAAATGAACTAAAGTCAAAGTCGTCAGTACGCCATGTTTAGACGCCATTTTGGGGCAGTGAGTTCACTTTTTTGTGGGAACATTGGTTTTTTTAAATAAATAATTACAAGGAACAACGATATGCTATTTACAGGGATGGGAAGGAGGTTCTGGCCCACGGACTATTATAAAAAAAAACACATCAAAAACATTTTATTTTCATCTATTTTTGCACAAACTTTTTATATTGGGAAATTTAGAGCCATTCTCAATTTGGTAAAAGTTAGTTTTTTTAGTAATTAATTTATTACAATGCATCTCATCACAGGAAAAAAAAAGAAAATCAAAAGACCACTTAAAGTAGTTTTAACAAAGACAAGTGGTACCTCCTTTTGAAGGACATTTTGTCCAGTTTATGATGTTGATATTGGAAATAACCAAACTTAAATAGTTTCTTAGGTATTTAGAAACATAACTTTGAAAACGGTTTCTTCTCTTGATGAATTTAAATAGAATCCTTTTTCACTCAAGAAGTTTTTTTTTCATCAGCTCTCTGATTGTTATAACAATTTACTTTAATATAAAATGGATTGGTAAGCCTATTACTGAAATGTACATTATTAAGAAAGAAATGTTTCCTTGTTACAATTTATAAACTTCTCAACATCTATCTACTGGCTATCTTACATATAATTTTATGTTAAGTTATTGATTGAGTTATAATTGAAGAATTCAGCTGCTGTTCACAAACATCACCTCTCTCTCTTGCTTCCTCCTTTTTCTGGCTAGAATGCTTTCACAACAAGGATGTCAGGCCACCATGTTATGTCCTATATAGCTGACATTAAAATTCTATCTAGACATTTTAGATGTGACTAGGCTGGCTGACATCTTTATTGTCAGTGCACCTTTAACACGTTAGCTGCGGCTACGGTTTCTGGGTTCTGATATTTGTCTCGATTTTGGGTGGGATTGTTTCGAATTTTGCCTATCTTATAAAGTCTCTAATGGTCATTTTTAAAAATATTTGAATGGGAGTTGGATAGATGTAAATGTAAATCATTACATCTGATATAAAGCTATCGGACGTCGGGGACGGTTACCGCAGCTAACGTGTTAAGTTGTATTCCCACTTTATTTTGTCGGCAAAACCACAATCCTTATTTGATTTGATCATTTGTAATTTTAATAATCTAAGAATTAAGCTCATTTTATTCACTGCTATATGCTCAATGCTCTGATGCTAAGGACTTAAATTAAAGCTAACTTTAAAAACTAATAAGGAATTTGTTAGACCTCATATGTAGTTTGTCATAGCTTTCCTTTCAGTATTCTTGATTGGTTTTTATTTAACATGAAACATAATAAATTTTGTATGTACCTAATTTTATCAGTGGAGGTTGAATAACATATTATTTATTTCATATATGACAAATATTTTGTGTATTCTAACATTTCAATCCTGATTGAGCTTTAACCCAAATATGTATTAAGCGAACACTGATATTTTCATATTTTTAATATTCTTGTTTTTATTGTTTTCAGTTTCATTTTTTCATTAATTGGTCTCTACTACATGAACAAACTTGTAAAATCGGTTGCACCTGTTCAGGCTCCATCATCTTCTGTAACATCAAAAAAGAAGAAGTAAAATTTTATATTGACTGTTTGGTGACATTAATAAAATTAAACTATCTATAAGAATAAAGATTTCTATTTATTTTTATATTATTTTTATTATTGTTAATTTTTTAATGTGATTGTTATCCTCATTACATATTTATTGTACCATTATACATAAACAAAGGACGCTGATGTTATTTTACTACAGTCAATTCTTGATATCATGATTTTTGGTAAATGACAAATCAGTTTTAGTAATTGAGCTTCATTTATTTAGAATGGGTATATTAGTGTTTTGTTCTGTTAAGCTTTTTACACCATAGTCTAATTTTCACTTCTATTGTTCAAACAATTACAATATACTTACAAAATGTATAATAAATATAGAATTTAATTTGTAGCAGTAAAACATGCTACTGAAAATTTGAGTTATGAGGTTTTAAGTTATCAAGAGAAGACCATTTAGTGTAGTCATGGAAAGCGACAATGGTTTCTCTGGATAAGAAAGAATATGAGGAAAGGAAAAGTGTTGTCTTGTGTACAGCCTCATTCACTTGTTTACACCATAGTCTAATTTTCACTTCTATTGTTCAAACAATTACAATATACTTACAAAATGTATAATAAATATAGAATTTAATTTGTAGCAGTAAAACATGCTACTGAAAATTTGAGTTATGAGGTTTTAAGTTATCAAGAGAAGACCATTTAGTGTAGTCATGGAAAGCGACAATGGTTTCTCTGGATAAGAAAGAATATGAGGAAAGGAAAAGTGTTGTCTTGTGTACAGCCTCATTCACTTGTTTACACCATAGTCTAATTTTCACTTCTATTGTTCAAACAATTACAATATACTTACAAAATGTATAATAAATATAGAATTTAATTTGTAGCAGTAAAACATGCTACTCAAAATTTGAGTTATGAGGTTTTAAGTTATCAAGAGAAGACCATTTAGTGTAGTCATGGAAAGCGACAATGGTTTCTCTGGATAAGAAAGAATATGAGGAAAGGAAAAGTGTTGTCTTGTGTACAGCCTCATTCACTTGTTTACACCATAGTCTAATTTTCACTTCTATTGTTCAAACAATTACAATATACTTATAAAATGTATAATAAATATAGAATTTAATTTGTAGCAGTAAAACATGCTACTCAAAATTTGAGTTATGAGGTTTTAAGTTATCAAGAGAAGACCATTTAGTGTAGTCATGGAAAGCGACAATGGTTTCTCTGGATAAGAAAGAATATGAGGAAAGGAAAAGTGTTGTCTTGTGTACAGCCTCATTCACTTGTTTACACCATAGTCTAATTTTCACTTCTATTGTTCAAACAATTACAATATACTTACAAAATGTATAATAAATATAGAATTTAATTTGTAGCAGTAAAACATGCTACTCAAAATTTGAGTTATGAGGTTTTAAGTTATCAAGAGAAGACTGTTAGTTCATAACTTCAACTCTCATGATGTAAATAAATTAATAAGGTACTTCTAATAATTAATTAAATGAACATATTATAATTATTTTCAAACAAGTTTGTATTGTAAGGAGACTGAAACAATTCATGTATGTAAATTTTGTATTCTTATTTTTAAGAAGTTTAAGTCAAGTCTCTATTAAAGAAAGAAAAAAAATAATCAGCTTTATTTCTGAGATGTTAAATTATTGTTACAATATTTATCCTATCCCTTTTCTTTACAATTTGTTGTAAGTATTAATAGACTTAATTATACAGTATAACATTTAATCCACCCTACTATATTAAATTGTATATTAACTTGTATCTTTAGATTTGTTTGTAGTTTCTAATGGACATAGCTTTTATATCTGAATAATTGAATGATGAAGAATTGAATAATTTATAGTAAAATTCATTGAGAATTATTCGAGACGAGATGATATTTTATTGGCAGATGGGACGTTGAAGATCCTTGGTCAGGGAATAAATTGCTAGAAATTAAGTGTAAATGCTTAACATCTGAACATTAGATAGGTTAAATAACAGTAGGAAAAATTAGATCTTATGAACTTCATTTATGAGGGTTCTGGACACTGGGCACAAAAGAAGTAATGTTTTAACTGAAGGATAACAAGCATTTTCCACTTTATGATAATTAAATATGGTGCACTAATTTTTGACTATTGAAAAATTTAGTTCCTAATAGTTAACCAACTAAAAGATTTCTGTCTCGAGACTTCTTTGCTACCTGCATTTTGGAATTTGTGAAATCCACCTTTGAATGCCTTATCTCGTTCATATATTCATCTAAAAAACTTGAGTACTGACCCAGATGATTAATAATTTTTGGCTGTTGTTTAATTAAGTATTTTTCTTTATCAAAACAACTTTTTGATTAGGAGTCATACTATAAAAGTCCCCACCACAGTGGATATGAATTAAAAATGAAAAAAAAAGGCCAGTTTGTAAATTTATAATGAAAAAGGCTGGATTTATAAATTATTTTAATTTTATGTCTTCTGACAATTGCTTTTAGAAATGTTTTCTCTCTAAACAATACCATCTCTCAAACTGACTTCTCAAAACCAATGGTGTAGTCAGTCAAGACAAAGGGGGAAGGATCAATAAATTTAAGTTAAGAATAAGAGTAAATAGTCTTTATTTTGTAATTTTTTTTTCTTTTTCAAAATTTTGAAATACTTTCTATGTTTGTAGCCACTTTTATCCATGTTGGGAGAGAAATAATCCTCATCCCCGCACTGTAAATATTGTAATGTCTTTACTAGATTCGTCTGCCAGTGGCACTTGCAAAAATGCCTGCCTGAGGTAAAATTTGGATAAGTAATTAGCCTAACGAAGTCCGTCCAGAAGAGAAGTCATTTTAGACATGGAATAGGAATCTTTACAAGTAACATGATTTACCTTACTGTAATGCTTACCTTACTCTATACAAAAGCGGTAACCTGTTCCCTTTGGAGCCATGACCACTGGAGACAACCATGGAGATTGGCAAGGCCCCACTAAACTTTATTCCAACATCCGAAATAGTTCTTGGTACATTGCCTCAAGTACTTTGGGCGAGTAGTGGTTGGAACGTTGCTTGATAGGTTGGGCGCCCTTAACATCTATGTTATGGCTTATTCGCGTTGTCAATCCCGGAGAATCTTGGAGAGTTGGCAAGCCTTCACTGGCTGCTCTATCAATATCCAACTTTTCAGAGTAATGAAGTGAATTAATACAGCAAATCACAGGCGGATTTACGGAGGGGGGCTTTCGGGTTGAAGCGCCTCCCCAAAACGGTAAAATATAACCATATTTTATAGAAAAAAATATTAAAAACTATCTCTTAAAGTATTATTGTTCGTCTGCTACTGCCTATGTTGATGACCTAGCTGCTGTGGTGGCCTTAAACAGCAAAGCTGGAGTCAAGACAGAAGCAGAGCAATGCGCTGGCCTGGTCGCGAGTTGGTGTGAGGGGAAGAAAATGAGGATGGCTGCTGCCAAAACCCAAGCCATTCTCCTCAAGAGCAAGACTGACAGGGCACACCCTATAACAATGGACATAGAAGGTAAGAGGATACGTCCAAGTGAGGTGGTAAACTACCTGGGAATTAGGTTAGGTTTAGACCTAAATGTGACACCTCACTTGGAATATCTGGCAGGTAGGGTGGCCCTACCAATGAACAGTCTAATTCGCGTGGGGGGCGAATTCTGGGGTCTTAGGTATCCAGCCACAATAACGATATATAAAGGTGTTGTGGAGGGTATCCTGAGGTATGCGTCTCCCTTCTGGTCACCTCACACTACGACAAAAAAAAGGCTAGCCTCGACTCAGAGGGCAGCTCTGCTTCGGGTCACCAGAGCATACAGGACAACTTCGCATGAAGCGGTGCAGGTCCTAGCGGGGGTGGTGCCTCTCGACCTCCTCCTACTAGATGAAGTGACAAAATATTCTTATAAGATGGAAAGCTCTACATTACTTTCGGACAATCTACAGGTGAAGATTATGGAAGCACCTAATAAATGGAAGAAGTTACTCCGGAAGGATACAATTGAAGCATGGAACCGGCGGTGGGTAGCAACTCCTAAAGGAAGTACATTGAGGAAGTACTTTCCCATAGTACAGTCGAGGCTTCAGGCAAAGTGGATCCTCCCGGACTACTGGATTTCCCAGTTCCTCACTGGGCATGGAGGATTTCGAGCTAAACTTCACGGTCTGGGCATTGATCCTCTATGCTGGGGGTAGATCCTCTATGCTCAATCTGCAGTGTTCCGGAAACTGTAGAGCACGTGGTCACGACCTGCACCGCATTTGAAACGTTAAGAGCGACTATGACAAGAGCCGCGGTAATCTATATCCTCACTGAAAGTGAATTTCCTCAGTTAGTCAGCGAGGAAAATTTCCCGCGGTTCAAGGATTTCATATATGGATGGAAGACGGCGGTGAGGCCAGCTCACTTCCATATTGGTGCCCGCAGAAGAAGATGACAAGACCTCCAGATTCTGGAAGCTAGGGCGAAACAGAAGAAGAAAGAACAGAAGAACTGCACATCGTGTTAACTACTAGTAGTGTGTGATTAAGCATTCATGCCTAATAACACATTATCGCAAACACCCGTATTGCCATAGTGGCATGGGAGGGTGGAATACATAAATAAATAATAAATAAAGTATTATTGTTCGTGTAATTACATTTGATAGGACTTCAGGAATCACTTAAACACCATTTCATATAGGTAGTTCATTCATTTAAAAAAAAAAATAATTATCGTTATATTTATGAAAACAAATCTTTCCGACTGAAGTTCCCTCTTCCCCCAAAATTAAATCCTGGATCCGCTAGTGCATCAAATTTTGGCTGTTTCACACCCCACTAATGGAATATTTTGACAAAACGATAACTTGTTACATTTTAGTTTACATAAAAACATAGTAGTTTCAATTATAAAATTTAATCCTAACAGAAAGTTAAATGGAAGCGATGTTAATCCACATAGTATCGCGTTATATGAACGGTTTCCCACGGTAATTGAAATGGAGAATCGTTTATCCACTGTACTACTACTTCCATTAGCGACACAAATATTAAACTCAGGAATTTTCTCAACATCATGTTCCAATTGAAGGATAATTTCCTTCCCTTTAGGCTCAATTTATTAGTTCGTGAAACCAATTTATGAGTCGAATAGGGTCAAGTAAAATAGGGCATCTTTCCTTATTCGTAAGACTATGTAAAGCTGTTTCGGAAAAGGGGTTACCTGTTCCGACAAACTTAAGGGACAAAGAGAATCAGTAGAATTGTCTGGAGAATTCGATAAAACACAAGAACAAACAAGAGCAGACCTACAAATACCAACAGAAATACAATGAG